ATTCATTCCATTGGCAAATCATCTTATTTACCTACTCAAATTAAGGCTAAATACGCTTTATTCAGACATTGTTACTTATTTCTAAATCATTTTTGCAGTGCACTGTAGCATTGGAGGATTTAGTTCTTTCCTGTGTGGACCCTGATGGACTGTTAAAGGGCTAGAGACCCATCAACCCTGAAAGGAAAGAGGCAGTGTGTTTATATTTTTTTCTCTAATATTAGATAAGTAATTAATTTAAAAATAGGAGGTGAGGAGGAGACTCAGCTACTCAGTAGAAGAAGTCGAATCTGGATCAACGTCAATGGTTCTCACCTAGAAAAGAGTTCATCAGGAGTTGGTTCAGTCTTTTCCTTCTAGTGAAGGAATCCCGTTACTTTGCTGTTTTGTTCATGAATTATTAGATGATAGCCTAAGAAATGGACAGATTGGGGGCCATGCCTGCTGTAATCTAGAGTCCGCTTCGACCTGTTTATGGAGCACAGAATCAAAGCTCCTTTCTTTGTTTCCAGCCATAAACTACAGCCATGACATACAGACGGTGGCAGGAAGAGTAAGACTTTGGATAAAAGCAGATGAGTCTTGGCTTTAGAGATGGGCTGCCATGTTTCTTCTTTTGGTCGAGCTCAGAACAGCTTTTGCACATTAACATCTGTCTATGTATCTGGGGTAGGTTCTGGGTGCCTCCTTTTAGGACCATCACTAACATGATGTTACCTTAAAAAGAAGAAAGCACTTGTTTTGCAGGGTTTTCTGACTTCCTGAAACATTTTCTAAATGGATAACTACGACTTGATATGAGCTAAAAATGTAAAAACACTCATGTTAATCCATAAATAAATCTATGTCTCCCTGAAACAACAGCTTTCCTTTTAACGCGGGGGCTTTGATCCCATAATACGTGTTTTGTTGTATTTTTTAGAGGTTTTCTTCACAAAACTACCTTTTTAGTTGCTGCAGTCTCTGCTCCCTCTTCCACTGCTGCTCAGCGATTGTTTTTTTTTTTGTTGGAGCGTGGTCAGGGGTAATGCTAAGGCTTTAAAATCTTCTGGGTGTGCCCTGGCCTGCTTAGGTTCCTGCCCTTAATGCTTCAGTGAAGACACAAAAGCAAATCCTGCCTTTGCTCTTTGCCATTTTCCTAAATTAGTTGTCACGGGAATATAAAGTGACGTTTTGTGATGTTCCAGGGTCTTCAGTGAAATGTCTCCGACACAAAATAAAGAAGGAAAATGCAAAGCAGAATGCGTGGTTCTTGGTAAAGCCACACACCTTGTTAAAAAGCTGAACCCTATCTTTACTGATGCGTGCGTCAGAGCCAAGAGCTTCAGCGCAGAGGAGACAGGAGGATGCTCCTTTGTTTTAGCTGCGCCATCACAGACGCTCGTTCTGTTTGTGGTCACTGAAAGCTCTAAAAGTATGCATGAGTTCATTTTGCCTTTATTTCCAGTTGCAAGTAAAGTTTTCTGCCAAACTGTCTATTTTGAGCTTATTAAGTTAAAAGAAAAAAAGTTCAGCCTTTTCCAGTGAACAGAGATTCGCCACATGAGCGCAGCAACAGAAACAAATGCTGTTCCTGCTGCAGGCTGCAGCCCTCCAAAGTCCACGTTTCGAGACTGTATTTGAATCTTGAGCCAATGTGTGACCTTGTTTGACCTCTTGTGTCACAGACTGCATAGAGCATCTTTCCTCCCAAAACACAATAAAATGTTTACAGCTCCAGTATTTAGCCTAATAAATCCATGTCTTTGTTGCTGTCTCCCTCGTCTGCCCGCTCTCTGATAGAAAACACATTTCTCTGCTCGGCACGGCTTCATTGTTGGCAGAAAGTTCGCTCTGCTGTCGACATCTTTATTGGTCCAATCGTGTCACACTGCAGGTCACAGAATAAACACTGACATGACCCAGAGACGGCATCTCTCATCAGGGCGTAAAGTTTTTATTGCATCTGAAGTGGTCTTTTATTTTTGCAGATTTCCATCCTGTTCCATCCTCCTCCTGTCATTATGACAAAAGGGGAAGAAGTTTGTTTCTATAAAACGAAAGAGGAAGAAAATATCAGAGGTTATATCCAGTAAAGCTGGGAGAACAGAATATATGGAAAGAGGAGGGATGTGATAACCAGGGTCCTGACTGTGATTCTGAGAGCTGGGAGGCTCGAGAGGCTTCAGCTACTGTTTGTTCAGCCTTTCCACAATTTCCTCCATCAGTCTGTCACCGAAGCAATGGCTGTGGGGTTTCAAATTTGACTCTCATAATATTTACTTTTGATTAAATCAGAAAATTTATTGTGATTAGGCTTATTTTATACATACATTATAAACAACCTTTAAGCAGACATATAACACATTCCGTGCATTAGAAATGCCTTAAGTGATCGTAAATGGGGTGTGGGTTAGCTGTAAGCGGACATATGAGGTCCTGAAAACATCAGAATCTGTGTTATTAAACATATTTGTGTTTCACTTACTGAAATAAATTAACTTTTTTGATTTATTAAATATATGACTGTGTAACGTTTGCATGCAGCCGAAAAAGCAAATTTTTTTTTGTCGCATCTGAGCAGAGCAGCATCTTCCTGTAGCTTGCAGTTTCCCCTACACAGCTTGTGGTTTACTTTAAATCAGATTTATGTCTTTCCTTGTCCTTAAAATGCATGTGTTTATAGTTAACATCCTACCTAATCTCTTCCAGCTGAGATATTGGTCAGTCCAAGAAATCATTTCTAGATTATTACTTCAACAGTTGTCTGTGAAGACGTATAAATTGTTTCCAGGGTTGGATAATCCAAAGTCTGTGTAGAGATCAGTTTCAATCATTTGAATATTCAGCTCCACAATACAGACCAATGACCTGAGGAGCTAATTACAGTACCTGGTTAAAGTCACAGGGAAGTCATATTTAAATGTCAAATCCTTCTGGCTTAAAACATGTATATAAATGTACTGTTTATCGGACTATATTGTCCCAAAATTTTGAAAATTTCTATTAGAAAATAAATCCTTTCTTAAAATCTGTGCTTTTTTTATCGTTATCTTATGCAGGCCAGTTAGTTATATGTCAGCTTGTACACCTAAATCATATATCAACGGTCATCTGTTAATACATTTTTTGGTCATAGCATCTTGAT